GGCTCTACAGGGGGTTTATTCGAGCAAAGCATTTATTTAAATATATACGGTATAAGGTCAGGCCTATGTTAATGTAATTTAAATAAAACCATAACACAGTTCCTTTTTATATTTCATTTAGGTATTCTCGTATGAGTCCTGAGAGGTTCGATCACCTGTTGAGTTTAATACAACATCTTCTGGAGTCTTTCAACCATCTCATGGATTTCCAAATGGAACATGAACACTCGTTAAGTGAATTACTGTATAATTTCTTTTTATGACAGACTACATACATTTTGACTTAAATTGATAAATCAAAACCATATTGTAGCTTATTATATTTATTTATACTTATTTTTTTTTTAAAGATCATCAGAGATGGGCAGAAAAAATAACATTTTATTGGTGAATGTAAACTGTATATACAGTAATTAAGAAGAAATATACATATCTTATTTTTGAGATATTGAGGCAGCAGTGGGCATAATTAAAATTAAAAACAAAACTTTCCTGAAATATTCGTGACAGGGGTGTTCTAATTTGCCACTAAAGTTTTATGTTTATTCGAAACCATTATTAGCAGTTGATACAAATGGGTTTGCTAAAAACAAAAGACTAAATCTGCTTTGCAAAAAATTATATATATAAGATTAAATGGTACTACTTGATCCATATTAGGATCGGAGTGTTAGTCTCTGTGTTAAGAGATATGCAATGTCTAATGTTTATGACAATTTTTGATCAGTGGTTTGTATGTTATAATAAATGTTTGTTATTTAACATATAGTATCTAGAAATGCTGTATTGTGCTACTTTCATTATGGTTTGTCACTTATTAAATTAACACTACATTAAAGAAACAACATCTAAATCTAGTACTGTATTGATGAAAAATTCATGTATTCTTTACTTAAATAGACCTATTTAATTTTTGGAATTAGGGCTATGATAAATTTCTGTAGCAACTACAGATATGTTGTGCTACTTGAAGTGGTGTGTTAACCTATCCTGGTATTCCTCTAAATTAAAAAATCTAGCCTAGGGAATTGAAAGATATTTTAATGTCATCGTCAAATTGTTTAAAAAAATTATTACAGTCAAGCAGAACTACCAGAAAATCAGAATCCAGATAATTTGAGGCATGTTGTGGCAAAATTTTTAAGTTGTCACACAGTCCAGTATTGAGGAAATGAGTTATAAAATATGGGAGCTCAAAAAATTGCCTAAAAATCCAAATTTGTTTTTCACTATAGATCAACAGTTTAATGTCTTATTAATCATTTCCCAAAGTATTAGTTCTGGAAGTGGTTAACAAATTGTTTATTTAACGTTATTTTTCATAGTTCACTCTATTAAACAATGTATGCACAAATAACTTTGAAAGGCAATTACTCAAAATCATGTTTATCTTGACTCTAAGAGTACTGTACTTTCACTTTCCAATAACTTAGGCTGGAAATGTCCAATTTGAATGAATGACCCCTCATTTTAAAGATCACATACTCAGGTATCTGAAAATACCAATATATTGATTTTCAATTTTAAACATTGATACACATTGATTGGCAACTGGTAAATAACTCTGAAAATATGAACGACAAATTTACTCTAGGCAAGGCTGTAATGTACACAAAAGTTTTCTAGGTATACAGTGGCAACATTATACTGTATATTCACATCAACAACTACTTTGGAAATAAAAACTATTTGCAGCAAATCCCAGGAAAGATAAAATTGAATTGGATTGATACAAGATGGTAAATGATAAGTAAATATACAATACATACACACACATCACAGTCCATATATACATACAAACGAAAATAAAATGGTTTAAAACAAGTAAAGAAAACACATTTTGTAAGGAAACATTTAAACTTCATAAAACATAAAATAATTTTTTTCTGTTTGGCAAACTGTTGTATTAAAATACTAGATAAGTGTATAAACGGTATATAACAGTATTATGTACCATGAAACATTAAAAAAAAAACCAAACATTTACACACTAAAGGAAATATTACATTTTTGTGGGAGTTTATAGCTTAAAGTTGTATTGTCTAAAGAAAAAAAAAATAATAAAAATCACTTGTAAAATAAACTTTCTCAGATTGAATTAACACAAAAATTGTCATGAGGTAGGTCAATATAAATAAAATCTTTGTACCGTATATATAAATTAGGGTTTTTTAAAATGTATTAACTTAGTGTAAAGTACCACAGTCGTGTCGTCACAACACCAGGTGGCGCCGCTCTGGATGTTGGTTACCGTTCATTACGCCTGAATGACTTCATAATATTAATAGTTTAGAATGGGCTTTCTGGAATTGGCATTTTAAAACGTGGTATCGTGACGTAACAATGTAGTACTCTACAATAAATAATAAACACAAATATACTGTACTCTATAATTTAAAAGTGTAATGGTGGTTATTACATCAATTTATTATTGCATAGTAATTTTGGACGGGTAAATAAATATTTTTATATTATTTATTATTATAATAATAATATAACCAAAACAAATTCCACAAATTCCTCAATGAGCACCTGAAGCAGTCTTATCTGTGCCAAACTTCTCTTCCTCTGAGGAATAGCCCTCAACTTTTCTGCCACCATGCTCCCAAAAAAGGAGCAATCATCATCAGCTGGGGCATCTTTCGACAGTTTTTTAATTGCCGACTTCCATAAGTCATCATCAAGTTCCTACAACAATCAATATATTATCTATTTTATTACATACTGTATCTTTTATTGTTACATTTCATTTGCAATATAAATAGCAAGAGAGAAATATGGGAGTTTCTTACATACATTCATGCTGAGTGGTATATATGATATATATTTGGTAGCTTGAGAGGGGACAGAGGTTCAATCTATGATTGTCTGTAATATTGTCGGTAGGCACTTTGCTGTAAAAAAATAAATTAATTATGGGATGATAAAGAAAAGCATACTATACACACCAATTTCTGATTCTTGTTGTATGACCCTGAAATAAGATAAAAAATGAATAATTAGGACGGTACAGTCAATTGACTAGATTGCAAGTCCATCTAGCGGTGTTGTAACCCACCTAAAAAGAAAGAAAAAAAAACATAACAGAAATTTGTCTACAGTACAGTAGCTGTTCATGATGAATAAATGGAAGTACAATCACCTACGTCGAGGTCTTAGACTTAGATGTCATACAATATTATTGTAAATATAAAAAGTAATACACTATTTACATTTCAGTGTTCCCTGTCTTGAATCACTGTTCGGTGTTTCCACTGAAGCTTTTCTCTTCAAATACTTAAGAATGAAACATTAATTCATTTTGAAATAGCAGTAAAATGTTACATTAGTAAAATAAATTGATAGTGTGATAAAACTAAATTAATGTATTAGAAAAAAAAACCAGTCCAAACTATGCTGCCATAAAATTGGTCTTTCTACTATTACAGTACAGTGCATATAATTACCTCTGCTGGAGCACTACTCCTCTTATTTACCACTGAAATGATAAAAACATATTAAACTACTATCATCTGGACAGTAAATCGTCACAAACATTTCGTAATTACTCAAATTAATATATGACACAACATGGGTTATTTATACACACCTTGAGTATCTTGAATAGATAAAGTGGATGGGGCAGTTGATACATCTAGAATATCTAGAATTGTCATCATTGACAATGTCTTCTTCCTTTATGACAAGAACACAGTACATCAAGCTAAGTTACAGTTCACTCACATTTGGTGCTTTATCACATGTTACTTTAAATAGTGCATTTAGCCATTCCGATTAACAATTGACACCAATGATACAGTATACAGCATCTAGTTACAAAATATTCCATTTTCAGTGCATATAACTTACCTGACCCTCTATTTGATGCATCAAATTTAGAGCATCCGCCTCATCTACTGCGTCATTCCCATGGTGTAAATGGGTTTCAGTCTCTGTTTCTTGCTCTTCCAGATCAAGCTGAACTTCTAAAAATATTAGGTAACATTAAATAAAAGTTACTTTAATATCATAATATCTCAACAGTTAACTTGTATTATGCCAATTTAGAGGGAGGGAAAGAGAAAGAAGAGGAAAAGAAAAGGAAAGAAAAAGAGAAGAGAAAAATAAAGCCAAGAATAAAATGGAAGATATCATAATGACCAGACTCACAACACCCTGCAACCACTTCTCCACTTCAAAAACTGTCATAACTCCTTTCATCAATGCTTCCCGATGGCGTAACCACTGGTATTACGGTAGGCCAATTTCCTCTATAAATTGCACATTTTAGGGAGTTTTATCAATTCCGACGAAATTAGAATTAAAAACACAAAAATATTTTGCGTTTTTAGGGCTTTTTTAGGTTTATTCTTTTAAGTTATTTAAACATATAATAGTCCCAAACTCAAGAAAGACAAATTTAAGATAGATTGTTTTAACCTAAAAGAAGGGCCTCGTGTATTGATGGTGAAAGAATATGTTTGTAATAAATAAAACAATGATGAAAATGCTTATATTTAGTTTCAAACACACGTGTGTGGCCTATATTATAAATAAGATAAGCCCTATGTCGTATTGTTTTCTATATGGGGAGTAGCGTGGGGTGGGTATGGTAATTTACTAACCGGGAAAATAAGTACCCACTCTGACCCAAGACGCCTGTTACGCGCCTGGTGTTAGCGCCAATGTGTGCCCTTGTGCGGACAGGGGATGTGCCCCACTCTGAAGCTGGAAACCTTGTTTTTTGCAAAATAAATTGATGCAATTTGCTATTATAGGCCTAATCAATAAATTCCTCATCAACCGATATAAACTTAAACACTCTTGAAATTGACATAACATTACTGATGTCGTACACACCTTCAGTGTGAAATGTGGTTCTCTTTGCAAGCACATCTAACATCTAAGGAAAGAAGAGCTTAGATTGATACCAGATAAAATGATTTTGTTAGCAACATTAATACATTATGCTAATTTTCATCTTTGTAAGCGCATAAGACAGTGCAAATTATTTCTGTGACAGTCTTTTGAAGTGTGTAAAGCTCCATTTTATCCCATACATAATCAAACTATTGGGGGGATGATATAATGGACCATCCCCCCCCCCCCCTGTCAAATATTGGGGGGGGGGGGGGATGGGATCTACGCCTATGTAGGTAACATTAAATAAAAGTTACTTTAATATCATAACATCTCAACAGTTAACTTGAATTATGCCAATTTTAGCTGCCGCTACGACAGGTGGAGAAAAATTTGCTGCTCCATATGACAGTAAGCACAATTTACTGAATGACTAATCGAATCAATTATTTTATTTTTTGTTGTATAATTAAGAGTTTTGTGATGTAAACCATTTCAGCATTGGCTGTTGTTTGTAGGCCTAATCGTTTTTATATTTGTATACCTGACTAAATAAATAAAATAGTGACAGTAATATTATGCTCACACAATTATCTGTTAAAGATAGATAATGAAAGATAAACCTAAATGGGTTTGTGGGTTTATACAGTTTATGTATTTCTCCGTCTAGGTATTTTGTATTGATGATGTGGAAATAAACTTTATATTGAATCCATGCTGAGGGAAGAGAGTGACATGAAGCCGTGGAAGGAAGGCGACACATGCATCAAAGCTTTAGAACCAAATTGATGTAATAACTGTAGACTTTATAGTAATCAGAGACAATCATTGTAATTATTTCAACTCTGTTGAAAGTTCTCTAAATCATTGAAACATGAAACTGTAACATATTGAAAATATGAACACTTACCATCATGAGAAATGGTTCGCCTATGTTTGATGAAGGCCTGCATCCATCTAAGGCTCTCGTAGCCCTTTGAGATTACTACTATACTTCCGCTTCCATAAGGAAGTTTTATAGTCCTTATGTATCTTTAAATAAAACAATAACAATTTGGATGAGTTTCTACTTTATGTTGAATTGAAATATATCCAGTTTCAACATTTTATGCTTGTTTTGTTTGTAAATTTACATATTAAATTTAACAGTTGTAAATTAAGCCTCAGACTCTTGATTTGTAGGCCTGTATCAGAGTATCCCTGTGTAACTATTAAAAATGCTATACACTTATTAACTGGATTTACTGTAATGTCTATATATTTTTTTTTCGCCTATACTTTTTTTAATGGTATTTAGTCATATTGAATTGTAGGTATAGAAAACTCAGGTCTTAAACACTGTATATGTACCTTTAATTATTTATATTATATTTATTCAACAGTCTAAACGGCTAACTTTCTTCAATATCATATATAATATACAACAGTATTTCTAGCCGTATTTCAAGATTTATCTGGCCGAACGCCCTCTTGAGGCATAGCATTGTGTAATACAATGTTCCCGGCGGGTATTTGGACATGTTCAACCATGAAGCCTTCGTGGTCTAGTGGTTATGACGCTCGCCTTGTCAGCGAGAGGTCGCAGGTTCGAATCCCGTCGGAGGCATTTTATTACACAATGATTTTTCATCGAAAGCTACAGGGTAGCCTACGATGTTCCATCACGTCCTTATTAAACACTGTGTATTTTATGTACCTTTGATGATTTATATTATATTTATTCAACAGTGTTAACGGCTAACTTTCTTCAATATCATATATATATATATATATGAAGATATTATGAATTAGTCCCTACCTTCTTTGGTATATCCTATGTCAATGCATTCAATGACACATATGGAAATTGTTTCCTTCTCATACGCTGAAATTGCGCGTGCCACTTCAATTTCAGAGTTCACCATTACGATAATAATATTATTATTCCTACTGTCTGCACTGTATTTACGTTTTGTTGCAATAACATCGCCATCGTCCTCGGAATTCATCTTCATCATTTCTGGGGAAGTCTCGCATGTAACAGGACGATACAACATTTTAAAGTTTCGCAGCAGCCTAGTTACCTTAAAAATTATGTATTAAGTGATAGAGCGACCGAGCGTGTCGAACGGTTTGTGGTAATACATATTCATAAAACCTCGCTGTTGTGACCGCTAAAAAGTGACTACCGATATGGGCACATGTCCGCCTCTAGACGACGCCATGTTGTTGTTGACTGTACAACAACACGTAAAGTTGTTGTTACAAAACTAATTTAAAAGTAGGTATAAAATTACTTTTCGGTTATTGCAATACAAATTACATCTAATTATAATTTTTAAGTTTATTTTTAAAGCACTAATACCCACTTAACAAATAATAAACTATGAATTAGAGATACAACATTTGAACGAATACAATTACGTATGTAAAACATTTTTTTAAACTTACAATTTTGTTGTAAGTTTAAATGTCATTTTCTCGTGTTTTGCTAAAGTTCTTACTGTCAAACTTTTTTTAATGCTTTTAAATATTATTTAAGTTATTTTCATAAGAAGTTAAAGTATTATAAGAAATAAGAACGGGATTGAACGATAGGAATTTTACTCTGGCCCGGTTGTATACAAATCTAAAGGTCAACTTTTGACATGGGCCTTGTTACATGTGATTAATTACGCCTGGGCATCGTGTAATTGAAATATCCACTAAAAAATGTGGGTTTTTGGGACAGATGTTTTTCGAATTTTTAATGGCTAGAGGCAAAAGTTAATTGTCACACACGTGTTGGAAGTACCCGGTAAAAGCGTTACTTATCCAAACGGGCCCTGTGATTATATTGCAAATCCCAGAACCAAAGCTGACAGTTTTGGAACCATTAGTTGACATCCCTATTTACAATAATGTCCACGACCAACTCACCCCCAACATCAGTCCATCACATCCCCCACCCCAAGATCAGTCCATGTTGTATATTGATGTCCATTTTTGGGCGCCCAGGTTTTCTCAAACATCATTTTGATAGACCTCCCAAGCCAAACATCATTTTGATAGACCTCCCAAGGTCCATCACATATTGTAGCCTGTTACTTAAGGTTCTCCTCTCCCGGGACTGTCCATCACATGCTGTATAGAGACTTGTCAATTGAGACCTCCTCCATCACCAATGCCAGTCTATCACATGCTGTATATTTATGTCTATAATTGTCCCCCACCCCCTGGTCCGAATTTCAAATGCTGTATATTTATGTCCATCCTCCAATGACAATCTATCACATGCTGTATATTTATGTGTCCATAACTTCCGCAACCCCCAGGTCCGAATATCAGATGCTGTATACATATATCCATTATTTTCCAAAACATCATAGACCATCCAAGGACCATCACACTGTGTCCCACCCTCAATGTCACTCTATCACATGCTGTATATGTGTCCAATTTCCCCACCCCAGGTCCGAATATCAGATGCTGTACATTTATGGCAATTGTTTTCCCAAATATAATGTGATAGACGGTCAGTCCATCACATGCAGTAAATTTATGTGTCCATAATTTTAAGGTTCTCCCCCACCCGGGACTGTCAATCAGATGCTATATTTTCTGACCATTATTTTCCCAAACATCATTTGATGAAGCTCTCTGCCCCCTTTCCCCTCAACAACTAATGTTTTGATGAAATCTCCCCACCCACCCTCAGGTTCGTTCGTTCGTCTATCACATGCCTCCATCACTAATGGTTTGATGAAATCTCCCCCACCCATCCTCAGGTTCGTCCGTCCGTCTATCACATACTGTACCGTATGTGTATAGACGGTCAGTCCATCACATGCTGTAAATTTATGTGTCCATAATTTTAATGTTCCCGGGACTGCCCATCTGACGCTGTATTTTCTAACCATTATTTTCCCAAACATCATTTGATGAAGCTATGCTGTAAATTTATGTGTCCATAATTTTAAGGTTCTCCCCCACCCGGGACTGTCCATCAGATGCTGTATTTTCTGACCATTATTTTCCCAAACATCATTTGATGAAGCTAATATGCTGTATAGTATATCAGATGTGTCTAGGCCTACACCAGGTCCGACGGTGTCGCCCAAAGAGAAGCCTACATTACGTATGTGTCTAGGCCTAGGTACACCAGGTCTGTCAATCTCTAATTAGCCGTTAAAGTATACTAAAACACTAATAGAACACACAGAACACCTTCAAATAATAGCACAGGTAAGTGGCCGATATGCAACAACTATCTCAGCTTGCTCAATGTTTACTGACAGTCGCGAAAACAACATAAAGAAATTTTCTAGGCAGCTCGCGACAGAAACAAAATGTCGGGAAAGTTTGACCCGACGCATGCGCAAATCAAACATTTCTTGCACAATTGCATGTTCACCAGCAACTATCGAGCACAATGTATACCTGCCGCGATCCACCGTTTCGGAGCATATTTGTTTACAAATATGCTGACCCCTTTTGGTTGCACATCTCCTACACACATTTTACATGTGAACCATTACATTAGTTCCATGTGACCTAAGGTCACAAAGGAACTAAAAAGGGCACAAACTGAAAATATGGACCAGGCCTAGGCCGAATGTCAACCACCGTCGCTGTAACGAAAACAGTGAACACAAAAGTCAGTGCACCGTTCTCGCAAAATAAGTTTAAACTAGGCCTAGACCCAGGCCTAGGGACAAAGCAAATATGACCGGCCTAGGAAAGAATGCAGGCCTAGGTTTATCACTAGCCTAGGCCTAGAGTATTTTTTTAACGGTACGTTGATGTGGCAAGTTCATAGTATCATAGCTTAGGCCTATAAATAACTCAGGCCAAGAGGACAGCTACGGCATACTACTTGCAGGAGAGGAGGCGGTATTTTTGTTAGGGTCGCTGTGTGTATAGCAATTCTGTTTAGTTAGAGCGCCAAAGCAGGAGAGAAAGTATAAAACATTAATTGAAATAAACTAAAAATAAATAAATTACCGTACTCACCATCAACACATTTCTTTGATGGCGGCGCTATACCCCTACTACCTTCATGCAACACAGAAGATGCATTGTGTTGTTCATTGACTTCTGCTGCTGCTTCGGGTTCAACAAATGCAGATTTTGAATAAAACTGCACATGCGACATTGCTAGCGATTGCATGACATCAATAACTTCATCTGGCTCGACTTCTAGTTGAGTCATTTCTGGCAATTCCGTGACCGTGGAGAGGCTAACTTAGTTTTTCAGCGGATTTGTCTTCCTTGAGGGTTTAATTATGGAACGCCGTTACTGCCTTTGGTGGCTCGTTTTCGTTCGGCGCATTTGCTATTCGGCCCTTTTAACATTACGTTCGGTGTTTTTACATTACGTTCGGTGCTTTTTACATTACGTTCGGTGCCTTTTACTTTACGTTTGGTGCTTTTAACATTACGTTCGGTGCTTTTACATTATGTTCAGTGCTTTGAACATTACATTCACAGGCCCGTAGCCAGGTCATTTCAAGGGAGGGGGGGTTCTCTGGGCGTGGGGTCCAGAGGCCTGCCTAAGGGCCCCGGTGGGGTCGGGGGCGAACCCCCCGAAGCCGGAGCAGTTTTTGTGTTTAATGGGTCTATATAATGTTATAAAAGCAGTTATGTTTTGAAAAAGATCTATGTAATAAAAAAGGTGGTAATATAATAAAATTTGAAAATATTTCGTGAGTGGATTTCCCGTACGATTAAAAATCGTAATGGTACTGCATCGTGAGTGGATTTCCCGTACGACTAAACATCGTAACGGTACTTGGTTTGGTCTACAGGAGGTTGTGCTTCGAACAGGTCATTCCATTCATAGAAGAAGCCTTTTCATGGAGAAAGTGTACCTTTTTAGCAAAGGTTTGTCTAGGTCGAAACTAACTCCGGCTATATAAAAATTGATTAGAATATTGAAAATGTTATTCGTGTTAATGATAGATAAAGATTACTAGGCCTAATATGTCCATTTTTATTGATCTAATCTACGTGTATTTACTTTCATAGTTTATATTTAAATATTTAAAATTCTTTATAAATTTATTAAAAATACTATATGAAATAATGTAATCATTAAAATTTATGATAATAATTGATATTTAAAAAAAGCAAAAGATTGAAACATGTTAAATACAGACACAAAGTATACATAAACCTATTTCTAGATTACAGAAAATATGTAAATCTGTATTAAAATGATATCAATTTATATATATATATATATATACATAGAAATATTATGCGTAAATATGTATTTAGTATAACAAATTAAATTTAAACGAAAATATGGAAGAAGCAGAGGAAGAAAGAAGAATAGGAAAAAAATTGAAAATGAACAATAATAATTATTTTTTTTATTATTGCATCACGTTTTTGTGAAAATAACCCATCTTAAAGGACTATCTATCGTTTTCTTCGCCACAGTGAACGAAAAAAGTCAGTTATTCTACGACGTTTCGTAATTCTTTATCACTAAAAATTAACACTCGTTTTGACGCACTCCGTTCTGTTGTGTGTGTGTGTCTGCTGTTGAAAACAACCTTCCTAATTTTGTGACTGGCTATGATGACTGAGATGGACCATGTTGACTTATTAATAATATTTTGTTTGGGATGGAAAAATGGAGTCAATTACCCAAAAATGCTCCATAAGCAAATAGGTAAGTGTGCGCTGTGGACAGTATGGCTATGGAATTTACTAACCACAAAGTGTCTTCACGAATAGGGGTTTTGGACAAAAAGAGTTGAACTATAGAGGGCGCTACATTACGTAATTCTTCTGAGTCCGCGAAATCAATGAAGTGGAACGATGTATTGATCGCTACGCTAGCGAGTTTATCGGTACATGAATTCGCGTAGTATATCAGATAGTACGGAAAATATAAGCTATCTTTCATGAATTCAAACTAATTACAAGTTACTTATATGTGTATTAACCACACATTTCAATTATTACGTTTAAAAATAAAGTTTACTTGTATTTTTAGTTGTATTTCTGAGGCCTATTATACAGAGATGAAGTAAACAAACAGCGCCACCACACAAATTCAAGGCACTTAAGTACTTAACTTTAAATCGTCTGCGGATTATGAGCCGCCGGTAAAATTTTATGGAACGCCAAGCGCATCTCTCAGTGAATGTAGTGCGTTAATTGCGGCGTATTTCAATTAACTTATTCGTTCTTGGTTATTTTTACTAGGCCTAGTGATTCTTAGGCATGACGTTTTTGTATTTTTCATGAGAAGTTGCTGGCTATAATATTACAGTCAAGATTTCTAAGTCTGCTTTCAGTGTCGGAACAGGTTACAATGACATTCACCATTTTTTTATTGTGCTGAATACTATTTTTGTATTGCCTGTATGACTGCAGCTCATTTGTGGATTCTATATATTAATTGTTTATTAAAGCCCCATTCCCGGCAAAATTTCAGTTTTTAAGAAAAATCTAATTTTTGTATAATGTTATAACAATTTATAAATATAATACGGAATTGCTAGTTTAAATGAATTTAGACATTCCTAAAAAGGAAAAAATGTAAAATAAGACTAAAATTTGATTTTTTTTTTGTGTTCCACACAAAAAATAAATGCGGATGAATTTTTCATTTTGATTTTGCGATAGGTCGTGAGAAGAAATATCGTAGGCGCCGAAAACATTAGCCTATCCAACGCTGCTAGGCTAGGCCTAGCCTTACCGCCGACATGATATTTTCCGTTGCTAGTATTGACACTTGTGAAATATAATATTTCATAGGAATTATTTCAAATTTGTTAAAAAACTGATTCTGACTGAGATTTTGACACTTAAACAAACACATCTCAGCTTTAATCGAACGACCGCATTGTGCGAGATACGAAGTACAAAAACTAATCTCATTAGAGAGGGCGCACATTATTGACTGTACAAAAGTATACATAAAAGCGAGAATATTCCAGTGGATGCGATGAATTCGTCCAGAAAATGGTAATATTTTATGAGTCTGTATTTCTCTTTTTTTTTTAATTCTTTTGCGTAAAACTAAAATTCATGCCAATATTTTTCCATGATTTATAATAATTGGAGTAATGCAAATGAATATTTTCTAAAAAAAGTCAGTTTTTAGTGAAATTTTGCCGGGAATGGGGCTTTAACTTTTCTTTAATTAATATTTTTGGGTTGATGCCATTAATTGATAAATATATGTTTACTTTTAGTTACCAATGACCTGAGGGAAGAAAGATCAACAGCATTTAGGCAAGTCCACCGTTCTTCTGTAAAGGCACCCTGTATGCATAATTAAATACGGTAAGTCCAGGCTTTATCTTATTATTATTTTTATTATTATTATTATTATTATTATTATTATTATTATTATTATTATTATTACTATAATACAATATTACGTCATTGTTTTTTGATTATTGAAATGGTGGGCTATCATGGTATCAGCATGATATGCTAACCTTATATGTACTGTGTGTGTATGTTTATCATTCCATAATGATCACTTCAAACAGTTTAATTACCTATAATATTTATTATTTTCATTATATTAATTAATACATTGATTTAGAATGGGAATTAATTGTTTTAAGGATTTCAAGTATCACGGCTTCATACAAGTTATTAGAAAGTTTTAAATTATCATGATAATTTATACTTACCTTATATTATTTTTTCATAAATATTTAACATAGGCCTACACATGTTATTTTTAATAAAAATGTAATTATTC